CTTACATGCATGTACATTAGGGTGGGGAATAAAGTTAAAAATGTTAAGCTCTCACCCCCTAGAATTTTTCTAAATGGAAAAAAGAACACCCGTATTTGTTTGTTAAAAAAAATATATATGTAGAACTTTAGAACTTTTTGGTAAAAATGGTAGAGAATTCTTGAAAATCATAATTTCTCTTTAAGAGACTTCCAATAACAATACCCAATTGTTTATTTAACCATTTTTTAATACTAAATTTTCATAGGTCCCCAATGATCCCTATTGTTAAAGTATGATATATCGATATCTTTGTCTCGAGGTGGCATCTTTTTTTTGTACCAAAGTTCATTGGCCTCAAGTACGCATTCTAGCAGATCTCGGTTCTTGTCTCCCTTACGTAGCACACTACCGCCAATAAATCAAAGCTCACCAAAAACATTAAACTTTTGCTATGGAAGTATTTTACTGCCGCAATGTACATATATATGAATACTGAAAGACTTTAAAAGGCGACCCCGGGTCGGCCAAAAAAAAAACAAGTGTCCTGCAAACTTTTTTTGTTTGTGTGTTTGTTGGTGGTGCGGATTAATGTACATAGTATGTGTGCGTCAACAGGATTCTCCAAAAGCATCGAATTTGCGCCAAAGGAAGGAAGCGCCATAGCGAGAGAAATAATTAATTTCATTTCTAAGTCCCAATTTTGTATTAAAAAAATGAATGAAGTATTAAAAGGAATACAATTATTACCACCAACTATCGCCTGTAGCAATAATAAAGCGATGTGAAAACGACACTTTTTCTTATTGCCGGCAACAAAAACTGTTTGGTGGTTTTTTTGTTTTCTTGCGGACACTTTGTGTTTTCCCCTGCACTTTTACAATAAATGTGCACATATAAATCTGGGTTCGTATGGATAAGTAGCTTATGTCCAATGGCTGGCTTTAGTATAATGCGGCATTCGCAGCATACGATTGCGAATGACTCACTGGCGCCGAGCCGTTGAAGAACTTTTCCCATATAAATGTGCAAGAAATAGTTCCGATAGTAGCAAGACAATATTTTTATTAAGTCTCATCACCAAATTACTTTTAGTTTAAAGAATAAAGGTAATGCTGCATTATACTAAAACCAGCTTCCCGACATAAGCTATTATTCCATACGAGCACAGAAATATAATTAAATGTCAGTAGGCGTATTAATTGCGACTGGCTTTCGTTGTGGCAACTATCAAATGAGCTACAGAATTGACAGCGGTAATAAAATTAAATTAACAACAACATCGCTTCTTGGATCCAACAAACGATATGCAATATAGTAAAGCCACAGCCTTATCAACGCTAGAGCATCATCGCTAAGGTAATACTTGACATATAATTCGAGTGGTATTTAAGCCTTTACGAGTATGAATACAAGTTTGAATAATATTTAATGCATAGACATACGTATGCATATACATACGTACTATGTACGAATATTATGTCATTTAAGCACATTCCTAAGAATAAATATTCCCATGAATTTAAAAATAATGTGGAACGTGTCTCGCTTTTATCTTATCTAAGGCGTTGTATGTGTTAATTAAAAATGCAATGAACAATTAAGGCTGATAAGTACTTATGTGCCTACTAAAATTACATGCTAAAACTCGGATAATATCTTTCAAATTTTATATATATATATATATGTATGTATGTACGTATGTACTATATATCGCACGTTTAATAATACAGAGACTTATTTCAAAATTTAGAAATTTGTAGCAAAACGCAGTCAAAGTTTGATCAATTCATACAATTGATATATAAAAAGAAAGATGGAAAGGCACATATCTTCGCCACATTTAGGAAATTTTAGGTAACCTGTTAGACTGACACATTCTACTTATCACGCTTAATAATCGTATGATGAAATCTCCAAAAAAGTAATTTTTGAATTATTTCTCTATAATATTTAACGTGCGACATGCAGGCGTATGGCTCATATCGACCTCCCGCCAGTCTATTCATTCAAAAGTACGCACGAAAAGTACGAGTAAATATATGTAGGTAGATATGTACGGGCTGCGGCAAAACAAAAGCACCTCAATATTTTAACCAGTTTTGATTATTTTTATTTTGTTTGTTTCAATGTTCATAAATTTTTTATTAGAGCACAGCTCATTATTTAGATATCTAACGAAAACTATGTAAATCCAATTTTCAGTCTTTGTACGAAATTTAGAAGAATTTTAAAATGAGTGTCTAAATTCCAAACTCTTTAATATAAATAAAAAAAACGAACATGCAGTTTTAGATAATAATAATAGATTGGCGCTTACACATATGTTAGTGTTTGGCCGAGCTTCTCGCTAAATTTTAGTTGATGTTTGAAGTTGCTAAAAATACACGTTAAGTGTTTTTTTTTTTCTTTGCTGATGATGCACAGTGTTTCGACTATATGGAGGCAGGTGGAAATAATAGTACACCTGTTCCGATTTCACTGAAACTTGACATGTGCTCTAGTTTTACTTTGAAATGGAGAATTATGAAATTTTGTAAAGATGGAATAATTTCCACGCCTTCTACTCTTGTGGGCGGAAACATTAAATTTCATCCGATTTCGATCAAATTTAGTTTGTAGTCTTTATTCTATTAGAAAAACCTAAATATAAAATATGGAAGATTGGATCGCAATAACGTCCAAAACTCACAAAAAATCTGGGCCCAGTCATTAATTAATTCTTAATTTTTGTTTCCTACTTTCTACTCTCAGAAAACAAAGGTTATACTAGAAAATGACTTAGGTGTAATTACCCGGTGCCAAGAAATCTCGTTTTGTTGAAAATTTTAAATATAAAATATTGTTTGCCGGCTAAATTGTATGAGGCGGCCCACTGTGCGACGCGTCGTAACAATGCAAAAGGCGATATTGGAAAATTTTGACATTTTCCAAGAGAAACAAACAACTTTTTAAATTAAGGTGGAAAGTACTTTCACCGCTGCTTTAAAGGTGCCAAGAAATTTCGTTTTGTTGAAGATATGGCTTTGAATTTTCGGAAGGGGCGTATTTGTCAGAAAATTTATGAATTAAGTGAAGGAACACAACGGTACTATGTTTGAATTAAACATGCCAAATATGAAACAAATCAGAGCATAAATAAGCCACCTAACAAGACCATTTTCGGCCAGTGTACCAGTGTACATATATATATTATAAAAAGCAACCAAATTGGGCTTTAAATAAGTAGGATATACGACTTTAATTTTTTTTTTGGCGGTAGACATTCCATTGGAAACGCCCATATGTATGTGTACATATATACATGCATACATAGGGCGGTCAAGGCTGAAAAATCGTTTTAATGACATAGGACACATCAGCATATAAGCTGCGGTTCAACTACAAATTCGCTGAAATTTCATATATGCGCTATTCTGTGCTTAGGAATGAGGAAATGTGGAAAATGGTAAAAGTTAAGGCATTGCCCTTATGGACGGAAATGGTAAACGTTATCCAATTTTGATGAATTTCACGGAAGTTCGCAGAGCATTCGATATTTTTTTTTTTTAATATATCTGCGACAAAATTTCTAGTCCCACGGATAAATAACGGATAATTAACGGCAAATTATTAAATAGTTAGTTTGGGCTTAGCTGGTTTCCTTAATTGGTTTTCAGAAGGTTCCACGGAAGTTCGCAGAGCACGCGATATTTTTAAAAATATGTTCGCGGCAAAATTTACGGATAATTGACGGCAAATTATCCGATAGGGTTTTTTGCTTTGGGAAAAAGTTGTCCTGCCAACTTCAGAGAGGTATATGTTACAGAAGTCTAAGGCATACAAAAATATAAGAACACAATGGTTTTTGATTTATTTTGGAACGAATTTCCGTCATCCCTTGTCAAGTTTGGTTTGCAGACAAACCGGTTTCGGCGTTGTGCCATCTTTAGTGTCATTTTTCGTTCTAATTTCGGTTTTTGATTTTTTACAAAACAGGTTATATATAAAAATTAATTTGTTTTTGTTAAATTATGGCCTTGTTGAATATAAAAATTAAAGATAATTTTCTGTTTTATTTATTTAATTTTTTTGTTTAAAATATTTTTTATAAGAAAAAACTGGTATTTTTTCCTTTTAAGTGTTTTTCTCAAATTTTGTTATACGAGGTATACAAATATGCATCTCAGAAGAAAGGTGGTGTAATTTACAACGGTAGCAATTGTTTAAAAATTCGTTGGTAATCCTTTTGTTTAAAATATTTTTTTTTATAAAAAAGTTATTTTTTCATTTAAATGTGGTTTTTCTCAAAGTTTTATACACGCAATATACAAATATGCATTTCAGAAGAAAGAAATTTAACCGCCTTTACAACGATACCAATTTTTTTAAAATCGGTTAGTACTTTTTTGTTTAAAATGTGTTTTTTTATAAAAAAAAAGGTATTTTTTCATTAACATGTTTTTTTTTAATTTTTAAAATTTAATAGCATACAAATATGCATATCGAAAGAAAGGGGGTTTAATCACCTTTACAACGATATATATTTTTTTTAAATTGTTTGAAATATAAGGAATTTAATTTTTCGAAGATCTGAACTTTGACCTCTTATAGCACCAGTAATATAAGTTTGCACAAAAAAAGTTATATACCATTTAAATAAGATCAAAAGGAGGACTACGTCTATATTTTTAGGTTAAATATAATTTTTTTACCAAAGGCCCTATTTCGAACTTCGCAGGCCCATATCTCGATTTCGGAGGCTAACTTACTTGTTTACCTATGACTCAATACCCAGAAAAAAGTCGATTTTGCCGTATAACAAAAGTTTGCTCCAGCTTTTGGTGTAAAGTAAAACATTAAAATTTAGCGCATAAAATAAATAATGGCAAATTTTGAATTGTGTCACTTCTGAAGATCGTTTGCGATATTATGAACATATGTAGCATACATTTAATCGTTTTTTAAAAGGAAAGTAAACGAGAGGAAAGTAATTATTAAAGTAGCTATAAAATAAGATTATAAAATGTTTATAGCCTCACCTTTATTCAGTGCTGCATATGCAAGTTATTTGACGTTTAATCATTTTTAAAAGTCCACTAAATGCCAGGTAATAAGACTTTAGTTCACCATTCAAGACGAAAATACACAAATTACTTATTCAGATTTAAGTAGTATATTATGCAGAGTTGGCCAGTATTTACATACAAACATATGTACATGCACACATAATTTTTTTTTTTTTATGTCTGGAGAATGTCGAAGATCGCAAATCGGAAATCACAAATGAGCACTTAGTATAAGTATCGATATTATATTTTGGTAGCGCTGATCACAATTTAGTTTTAATTGGTTACGCCACCTAAGTAGAGCTTGTAGAACAATGAAATATGTACTAATTTGTATTTAATATGCACATCTGTATATCGCGGGCTTATATTCAATACCCTCTGTCTGCACTTTTCACAAAAAAAAGAGATTCTGTTATAAAAATCCACTTAACCATAATAGGGGCCTTAACTGTCATCGGTGATATTACTTAATGCTGGCCAGTGTTGCCATTTTACAAGTTTTCCGGCTAGATTTAGCCGATTGCGATAGCAAACAGCCGGAGAAATTTCGGTTTAGCCGGAAGCCGATTGTTAGCCGTGTTGTAAAAAAAATAGCCATTTTTAGCCGATTTTGCTTTCTTAATATATACATATTTTTTATAAAGAAGGCCGTAAAATGCTTCATAAAATGTTTGTTATCAATGACTTAAATTTAAGTGTGAAGTTTTATTCGCAAACTTAGAAAATAACAAAATTTTTCACAGTTTGCTTAAGACGCGTTTGTGTTTGGATATAAGTAGTGCCAAGAATAAATGTTACAAGTATTTACAAAACATCATTGTTGCCGACGCCTTAGGTTTTAAGGTAAGGCAAAATGGATATTTTCAATCTCTATGTACACATATGGATTTATTTAAGCTAACTTTTTTCCAAGTTGAATTAAAAGAACTAACACCGAAATGCGTCAAAATGAAAGTAAAAGGGCACAAATTTTTATGTAAAAGAGAACTCTCTGGGAAGACAATAGGTTTGTTCGTCGAAAATCCAGTGAAAATTATCACTCAAAATATCAGATAGTAAGAAAAAATGCTCCCAAATTCTCTCTCAAGTAGTGAAACTTGCAAATTTCTGCACGAACGCAAATTTGCAGGAACTTGCAAGTTTCCCTGCCAGCTACTTAAACAAACATAACAAATTTTTATGTTAGAATTTTAAAATTCTTTCAGAGGGGAAAAAACAGGATCTGCATGTATATTTCTTGCTATAACGACTTTCTTGAACATACTTTTCAATTTCTTTGCCGTACTAACTGTGGCGTTTCCTATATCGCCTCTGGTTGACACTGCATTCCGAGTACGTTTCAAATCAATGGAATTAACTAAATTAATGAAGTAAACAAGTATTTACTTACATATTTTATTTTTAAAGTGCTTAAGTTTGTAAATTTTTAAATTTGACGGCCCTGTTTATTCAAATTATCTTCTACAAAAAATGCAACCATGTGCCACAATCATATGTTTTTCCTAATTGCAAATTCTTGCTGTCAAAATTTTCTCCAGCTTGAATTTGCAACTTCTCTCCAAGAACTAGTCTTTCTACTTATGATTTATTTAAATAAAACATGTGAAATTGAGTTGAAATTGTTAGCCCTTTTTAGCCTTTTTTTTTGTTTTGCCAATTTAGCCGGTCGGTCCAAAAAGTTCTGGCAACACTGATGCTGTCCTTGCATAACACTTGACAGAAGAATTTACTTTAAAATTTTAAGGTCATAATTAACTTCAGTGAAACAGGTAAGTCCCAGATGGGTCCAAACATTGCAAAGTAGTTTTTTGTGAAAATTTCAGGTAGAAGGTATTTAATATAAGCCCTCGATTTATTTATTATATCAACTACAAACAAATTAAGTAAATGTGTCGGCACATCTGTATGTACATACATACATGGAGCATAAAAAATTGTAAAATTGCCGTTTTATATTGGTAAAAATAAGGAACTCCTTTACCCGTGTGATACTTACTATAAAGTAAATATGTAGCTATTTAAAATTAAGTTTTTCTTCCGAATGCATTTTAAAAATTTAATTCAAAGGTCAAGTTTTTTATGTTCATATGTACAAACATATCGTCGTTTAAAGTACAAAACCGAGTATCAACAAAATGCAAAACCGCGTATGTGACGTTGCATAAATTATTTTCGAGGAAGTAAAAACAAAATGGTTCTCTTATTTAACTAGTTTTAAGCAGACCTGGGCACTTTATGATTACGATTACATTTCGATTACTTAGGATTACGATTATTGTAATTGTAATATCGAAAAATTTCAGCATTACGTTTACTGTTATTGCAATTAAAACATGCTTGATTGTGAATACTTTAATTGTAATACTTAAAATTTAACTATTACGACTACTGTAGTCGAAATCGTACTTTTTATCATTATGATTATAGTATAGAATCATGTCCTATTAATTTTAAGATTACCATTACAGTAGTCGTAACTGTTAAATATTTAGGATTAAAATTAAAGTAATCGCAAACATGCAATTCATGATTAGGATTACAGTAATCGATTACTGCTTTGCTATGAGCAAATATTGATTTTTATACACCAAAATGGTTTTAAGTTATGTATTCGCATATTTGTTTGAAATTGTCTTAATATTCTACACAGACTCGTGGTCGCAGTATTTCCAGTAAAGGTTGACTTTGATTAACTGTCCACCTTGATGTGGTCACACAAAGGGGAAGATCCTACAATTTTACGCCGACCCGAAAGGCGATTGCATTTTTGGAAGAAGCTCTTTTTCACGACAGATATACACTCGGATGATTTCCATTGCCTGCCCAGATGCGCCCGCTATAAGAAAAAACCTATTTTTGTTGTTTTTATTTTTTGATGTTGGGTTTAACCGGGCTTGCAACTGTTTAATTTTGACTTTAAATCAATTTTACATATTTTTCGGCGAAAGGTCAGCTCATTTAAATAACTAGGTACTAAACTTCTACAGAATATCAGATAATCGCAATCAACATTTTCTTTATTACGATTACATTAATTGTATTGATAATATTTTTAGGATTTTTAGAATTACTGCAATTGTAATCTTAAAATTTTCAGGATTACAATTGCGGTATTCGCAATCATGTTTTTCATGATTACGATTACAGTAATCATAGTCCTTAAATTTTTAGGATTACAATTATAATAATAATGGTAACTTTTATGATTACAATTAAAGTAATCGTAATCATATAGGTAATTTAAGGATTAGAATTGAGCAATCGGAATTAAAGTGCAATTGTGATCAAAAATTACCCAGCTCTGGTTTTAAGTACCTACTTCTAAATTATAGTCAGTAAGAATTTATTGATCAATTGACTGAAATAAGTAAATAAATAAATTTTTGGCAAAAATGTCAGTTACGCGGTTTGCAGAACAACGATACGCGGTTTTGTACTTTAAACGACGATATGTATGTGTATGCGTATTTGTGGCCAGGAATATTACTTTTACAATCGTGGATTTATGTACATAAACTAACCGACGGTCGGCGAGATGTCAGAAATCTACCTGCAATCTCTCAATAAATTTTTATGTGTGTTTCAATAATCTTTATTAACACATAAATATGTACATATATGTACGATATATCAGCGTGAAACTGCACAGTTTGCCAAAACTCAGCGAATTTGTGTTATTGCCTTTATGAAAAGAAACACATGAAAATTTGAAGCCACTGTACTCTTTAACGAAATAAAAATGTTAATTTCCAGTCTCGGATTATTATTATTTGCGCTAAAACACGTCGATTGAAACCCTTCTTGAATTTTTTCGTCAATTTTGGCCTAATTTGGCTAAAGTGCAATTTTACCCCAAAATTTAACGAATTTGTGTTATTGCCTTTATGAAAAAAAACACATGAAATTTGGAGCCACTGTATAAAAATTCCACAGCGATAAGTCTTTTAAGAATACATATATATGTATGTGCATACATACATATATACATACATATGAAATATAAAAATAAATAACTTTAATCAATGAACTTCGTTTATGATTCACAACTAGTGTACATATTTGTTATTTTGTTTCGGTTTACATCTATCGATTGATTTTATATTTTATTTTAGCGATTCGATTTTGTAGTGTTGGCCTCAATAGAAATCACTTGTGCCGCACACTGTTTTTTTTTTTTGGGTGTCGCCGACGTCGCCGCTGGTTCGTATAAAGTCTCTGCTGTCAAAGTCGACGCCGCCGCCACCGTTCTTTTTGAGACTTTTCTTTTGGCCAACACACAGAATGACTGAAATTTTCTGTTTTTTCTCTTCCACTCTTCTTCGTGAACAACGTCGGCGTTTTATACACTAAATTATTTTCACTACATTTTACATATTTCATTAGCTTTTCTGTAAAAGCGCAGTTACCCACGAACGTAAAAACGGAGAACGTGTCAGCTGACACGATCTATCTTATGGCATCTGCGTGTTAACAAAAACTCACCACCGCATGACCGTGACGTAGACGTTGCTTCTCTCTCTTTCTATCAACAGCATACTTGATATCTTTCTACGTACTTCTACGCTACGCTACGTACACGTTCGTGGGTAACCGCGCTCTAATACTAAACCCATATATTCACACGCACACCTTCTTCTTCATGAGCGTCAAAATTTTACTTGCGCGATAATTATTTCGGCAGATACGAAAGAGTGGAATTATTTTCTTTGATTTTCACTGAATTTTTTACTTTTCCCACAATTTTTAAGAAAATTATTCACAACGAATTTTCACGAGACCCGAAAACGACACTATCACTTCTGCTTCTCGTTAAAGAATAACCGAATAACGAAGCATAACGAAAACGAGACATGGAGACATGATATAACAGGACGGCACAAAGCAAAGATGAAGAAAGGAAAATACACAAAACAAAAACAAGAATGAATGTCAGAACAGGGATAGATCACAATACTTCCACTGGAATGCACTACCGGCATGTCGTTTTGGTATAATTGGACCAAAATTGGTACACCTTGCATGTAGACTGGCTTTCGGAAGCAGTTCTTATATCTGAAATTCAAATTTTTCGATACTACTTTTTATCTGTTAACACGGTGTATACAGACACTTTCCAATTTCAACTATGTTGGCAGACATTTTTTTGCTTATAACAAAACTAATGACCTGAAAAAATTACTAAACCTGAATTTGAATTTGACAGCAAAATGCATAGAAAAAGCGCTTGCATTGCCACGTTTATTTTCTGAAAAAAAAAATCGCCAAAAATCTTTTATAACATAGTTATACCACAGTTTTTAAGGCCAAAAACGAATAGAATGCCTTAGGAGTAATAATATCATGACTTACATATGTATATGATAGAGATGTACAAACAATTTTCTTTAAAAATATTCAAACTTTTATAATGCCTTCAGGGTAGTGAATAAATAACAGAAATCACTTATATGAGACTGATGGTCAAACAATTTTCTTTAAAAGTATTCATACTTTAAAAAAATATTTGTATTGACATATTTTCCAATAGTACTGCGCAATTAATAAATTTATTTATAACTCATATTACTTGATTAATCACACAATCCGCTTTTAAGCTATAATAAGGTGAGATCAGCTATTTCCACGAATGAAATTGCGGTTTAATAATGGCAAATGTTCGATATGCTGCAATAAATTCGTTAACAATAAAAAGTGTTGCCCCATCAAAATTAAAACTCTTTCTCCATAACATAATTATCACGTGTTTTGACACATTTATATGACAGCGCACAAAAAATTGACTTGAAAGGAAAAAATCGCCAAAAACCGCCAAAAGCGATTTCCTAAATTTTTACGCACAAAATTGCCAAAAAATCCCTAAACCGGTAAATCTGGGCACTCTGCTATTCAGTGCTCTCCTGCCAATAACGATTAATGCACACTTTTTCACTAAACCAGTTCATGCCCAACAAACATTTAGTTTTGAGCTCAACTTAAGGTTAAATTGAGAACTAAGATATTTCGCAAATCTCCAACGTTGTTTCTCAATAGTACCTCAAGTGGAGGATCATAGCGTTCTCAACAAAAAGGGCATTTGTCTTTGTTTGAAAAAAGGACTGTTCCGCAAGTTGAGAAAATTCTAGTTCTCAACATGAACTCCAATGTAATTCTCCAATTGGTCTTAAACATTGAATTACATTGAATTACTGAAATTGAAATAATAAAATACCTTATACCCTTTTCATTTTATTACTCCTTTTGTATTATGTAGTTAATCGAAATCGTATTGCAATAATTCACTTCACAGTATACAGTCCGACAGTAATTTTGTCACTTGAGGATACTTTGAAGATTATTTACTTCTTGTTGGTAATTTTACTCTTTATATAGCTTTAGTTTTTCACTTGATAATTAAAAATTCGTTTCCCTATCACTTTTTACGTATCTGCGCATCGGCTAGAGACGAGTTTGAGAATCATGTTGGATATCAACTTTAGAACTATGAATTTCTCCAAGGTTGGAGAAATATTTTTTTGGTGTTTATTGCATAATAAATTCACCGACTACTACGTTGCAATAGTTCGGTTTGTTTACAAATTATTAATTATTAATAGTGATTCGCCAGCAACTCTTCAGTAACTTAATTTTTAAGAACTCGCTCTCATAGAGGAAATATCCAAAAAAGTACGCGAACTCAAATACAGTAATAATTTTCAAGTTTCATGAACAGCCGATAAATTGGTTGTTTATTCGCAGCAAATTCCTAATAAAACAATATCTGTATATATATTACGCGAAGCGACTTTTTGTCCAGGTCATCAGATCTGCACCGTTCGTTCGAGAGTTCCCATGTACTTAAAAAATTTAATTCAACTTAATTCAACTTGAAATATGTATAACAATGCTAGGAGATAAAAACATCTGAGCTAACGGAACTTTTTGGATCCGTTTAAATTTTTTGGTCAAAGTCACTGCTCTTTTTTGTACAATTAAATAAAGTTATAGTTTAAAAAACTAAAACCTCCCTATTATAATTAGCTCTGATCCAGTACTCCATGAACTTACAGGATTTTACACGAACTTGCAGGAAGTTGCAGGAAAAATGTTCCCGTACTCCCAAATCCTGTAAATGAGAGCGACTTTTGGAGATTTGTGTAGAGAATGAAGTTGCAAGATTTTACCCGAACTTTTTCTTCTGGTAATAGCTCTGATCCAATACTTCTCGTGAAAAATCCTGTAAAACTGTCAAACAGCAAAATTACTCTCTGAAGTGAGAGTAAAAAGTGAGTAACAACAAAAAGTACGGGAACAAAAAATTCATTTTTCCTGTAAAAACGTCAACCAGTGATTGCTTGACACTTTTCAGGATTTTACCAGAAGAAAAAGTTCGGATAAAATCTTGCAACTTCATTCTCTACACAACTCTCCAAAAGTCGCTCTCATTTACAGGATTTTGGAGAATTTTGGAGTACGGGAACATTTTTCCTGCAACTTCCTGCAAGTTCGTGTAAAATCCTGTAAGTTCATGGAGTACTGGATCAGAGCTAAAATCATGAAAAGTGTCAAGCGATCACTGGTTGACGTTTTTACAAGAAAAATGGTATTTTGTTCCCGTACTTTTTGCTGTTACTCACTTTTTACTCTCACTTCAGAGAGTAATTTTGCTGTTTGACAGTTTTACAGGATTTTTCACGAAAAGTATTGGATCAGAGCTAATGCCATTCGTACTGTCATCCGGTATGTAACTTGAGAATAGAAATCGCTGCATCTTTTAGGCGCATCAATATTACATTTTACATCCCGAACTAATAAAAGGAAGGTAACATAGTTACATCCCGAGCTAATAAAAGGAAGGTAAAAACCATGAACGAAAGACACAAGATCACGTAAGAACAAGAGAGCGAAAAAAGTCGATTTTTTTAGCGGGTTCTACGCCATCTTGTTTCACTGGAAAACGAGCGAAAAGTAAACAAAGCAAAGAAAACAACGAAAACCAAAATTAGCCAAAATTATTGTCAGTCACTTTAAACGCACAATTTAGGTAAAATGATGCAACAAAATGCTTTAAAATGTGTTGTCATGTTGAATTAACTCTTCTTTACTTGAATAAAAGTGTAAAATAATGGTGCTTGTGATATAAACAAACGCTCAGCTGACGAACCCGCTTTCGCAAACTTTTTTCTCAAAACCAGTTACAAATACAACGTCGCGTTCTTACGTGATCTTATATTTTTGGTTCATGGGTAAAAACTGGAATGACGGAAGTGGAAAAATTTCGATGCATCGAGCAAAAAATCGATATTTTCGATGCTTCGATGTATTTCCGAACTCCCTACTTTGCCTTCAAAAATCAGCTGTTGAGAATTGTCAACGCTCACCTGCGTGTGCCAAATTCTTTTGCCCCGGTGGTTTTTACGAGGATGCTTTCTTGCCCCCGGAGATGTTTGAAACTTATCAATTTGCAACTACAATATGGTGCACCGACGTGTAGGCGCCACATTCAAAATAGGCACAGTGATTACCCATCTGTGGAAGTTAAATTCACTAACGGGTAAGCCAACTTTAAATAATTGCCGCATCACTTTTCAAACCTTGATTTAAAAAAACTTCCACATACAGTCGCCCCATGACTATAAGCTCTGGCAAATTGGCACGCTTTGCCAATGGCACTGGTGTTTGCCAAATGGGGGACACAGCAGTATTGGTGACTGCGGTGTCTAAACCAAAACAGGCACCCGGCGCAAGTTTCATGCCGCTCGTAGTAGACTATCGCTTGAAAAGCGCGGCTTCGGGACGAATACCAATGAATTTCTTGCGTCGTGAACTGGGTCCATCAGAGAAGGAAATTCTTTCGGCACGTCTTATCGATCGCACTGTCCGGCCCCTTTTTCCATCAGATTTTCGCACGGAGACCCAGCTAGTGTGCAATATACTATCTATGGATGCTATATACTCTCCGGATGTATTAGCTATAAATTCAGCGTCAGTAGCAATAAGTTTAAGCGACATACCCTGGAATGGACCTATTGGTGCAGTGCGGTAAGTAATTCAAATTCAAAGTAGTTTGAAGTAGTACTTATATAATCACTTAGCGTGGGTCTCTGCGACGGTGAAATAGTAATCAACCCCACAAGGCGAGAGTTGCAGACTTCACAGCTGGATTTGGTAGTGTCAGCGACGAAACAAAATCTAGTGGTCATGCTCGAAGGCAAGGGTAATGTGGTGCTAATGCAAGACTTGCTCAAGGCAATCAAACAGGGCACACGTGAAGCGCAGTTCATTATCAGTGAAATTGAACGTCTTCAAAAAGCATATGGGCGAAGTAAACGAGCCGTTGAAGTACCGCTAGCGGTCGATACAGACATTTCTGAGGCTGTAAAGAGCATGAGTGAAATGCGGCTTCGTGAAATTTTTCAAGATGCTACTCATGACAAAATATCTCGTGACAATGCAGTAAATGATGTGCGATCAAATGTCATCGACAAAGTATGGTCATCGTATCCAGATACAGAGCCATCCTTAATAGGCGATGAATTCAATAAAGTGTGCAAGAGCATATTCAGAAGTTTGATATTTGAGGAAAATAAGCGGTGTGATGGACGCGACTACGATAGCCTTAGAAATATTAATTGTCAGGTTGGTATAACATGATTAGCTGTAAGAAGCAATAAATTTCTATTGTTAATATTACACAGGTGGACCTTTACAAGCCCTTACATGGTTCGGCGCTTTTCCAACGTGGGCAGACGCAGGTATTTTGTACAGTTTCCTTGGATTCGCACGAAAGCGCTATGAAATTAGACGCTATCACAGCGTTAGAAAGGTATAAGAGCAAGAATTTAAAATTGAACTGTACTAAAATTTAATACATACTTTCTTAAAGTGGCCTCAAAGCAAAGAATTTTATGCTGCACTACGAGTTCCCGCCATACGCCACAGGTGAAATTGGTCGCATTGGTCCGATCGGACGTCGCGAGCTCGGTCACGGCTCGTTAGCAGAGCGCGCGCTAGTACCTACGCTGCCACATGATTATCCCTTCACAGTGCGGCTCACATCTGAGGTGCTCGAGTCGAATGGGTCAAGTTCGATGGCATCAGTGTGCGGTGGTTCTATGGCGCTGATGGATGCTGGCGTTCCTGTAACTGCGCCAGCTGCTGGGGTCGCTATTGGGCTAGTTACAAAATATGAAAATAACGACACGAAGCACCTATCCGAATACCGCATCTTGACTGACATTTTGGGTATAGAAGACTACATGGGGGACATGGATATGAAAGTTGCAGGCACACGCAAGGGGTTCACAGCTATACAAGCAGACTTAAAAGTGCCCGGCATACCGCTGAAAGTAGTTATGGAATCACTTCAAAAGGCAGCCGATGCAAAGGGCCGTATATTGGATATTATGGGTGAAGTAATCAGGGAGCATCGGTAAGTTTGACGCGCCCGTAGTTGCTTTCTACTTAAAATCCAACAAAAACCAATTATAGCAAGTATCCAAAGGAATGTTGGCCTGTGACTGAACGCATAACCATCGAACCACATCAGCGGGGCAAGCTAATTGGTCCTGGTGGCATGCACCTCAAACGTATCTACCTCGAAACAGGCGCATCACTTTCGCCAGACGATGAATCGACATATACAATATTCGCACCCTCACAAGCGGCCATGGACGAGGCAAAGGAGCACATAGATGCTTTGCTTACGGAAGAACGCATACCTGATTTGGAATTCGGGGGGATATATACAGCAAAAATTACAGAAATACGCGATACTGGCGTAATGGTGATACTGTATCCAAGCATGCCACCAGCACTGCTACACAACTCACAATTGGATCAAAGAAAGGTAAATGTGTAACTTACGAAAATAGCAAGTATCTACACATTAGTTGAATATTATTTGCCTTCGCAGATTGCGCATCCATCAGCATTGGGTTTGGAGATTGGCCAAGAAATACAAGTTAAGTACTTCGGACGTGATCCTGTGTCCGGCTTTATGCGCTTGTCGCGCAAAGTGTTACAAGGTCCCACAACAAATATACCACGCAGTCACACTAAGACGGCGGAGGAAACGTAGTGAAACACCAAATGTTATCCTATTTACTAATGCTTTTAGATTTTGTAATATTGGAACTATTTGTCCAAAAAGGCTGCAAATTGAACAAGTCATGCATCAGTTGTAAATCTCTAGAAATTGAAGGCTTTATTAAAATCTTTAATGGAAATATACATATATGACACAGCTGAGAGAAATAAGGGTGTGAAGCTTAAAAATAATTAAATAAGAATAGAATAGATAAATACAAAAAAATTAAGTCGTATGTTTGTAAAAATACATTTTGTTGGGTAATTGACTAAGTTCACTTAATTCGATAAAAATTATGTGAAATAAATGCTTTATCAAAAATTTTTAGAGATTTTGTACAAAATTTTATCAGAGATTGAAACAAGTTAGGTTGGTTCTGTATGCTACTTAATATTCAAGATTTTTTCTAATAAAATAAATAAGTGGCCAATTTTTCTTTAATGAAGATGTAAAAGACGGCATGCCGGGGCTGTTGTGAGTGATGATCATATGATTACACGATAGTATGAGTCCGAAATGGTATACAAGGCAACTATGGATGCTTTGTCCCCGGTTAGGTAATCGATAATCTCATCGGTTATTTCGGTTATATACCGTTTGAACTTAGGAAACCTAAGAACGCGAAATAATTTGAAATGAAATTAAATCGTGTAAATGCAAATTGAGAGTTACCTTTCTATCACATTGTTGATTTCAACTTCAGTCTCCTTTTTGTCTGCTTCGCGCGGATTGATTGCACCCACGATAGCATTGACCGTCACTGGTGGCAACTCCACCACCAGCACAAGCACACTTTCCTTTTTCACGAACTGTGACAGCGTCATAGACATCTGCTGCGTAACCTGTGAATGAAATCTTGATAATAATAAATGTATTGTATGTACGTGGTGCTCGTACCTGATTTTCATAGCGCCTCTTCAAGTTGGCCGTTAACTTGTCATGCACCACAAACACCACCTGCACGTTAGGCCATTGGCTGGGGTTATAACTGCTTTTTATGCCTGCGCTTGAAGCAGATGTCATCAGGCCATCGCCGCGTCCAAAATTACAACCGCCACTATAGGACGTATTGCCTCCGGCGCTATTATTCGATATCTGACTCACATAGTCAATGGCATGGGTATAGTGCACTTCGGGTCGCAATTTACGTATGAAGTCGATAAGTTCGGCTCGCGTCACATGCCGTTCCTGAAAGCGATCCCGTTCCCACGAACATATGCGCAGCGCGCCATTTTCCGCCACAAGAATTACATGCAATGCGCCCAACTTGGCCAAATCTTGGGCTTCATCGCCTGCACCGGTAGCCGACTCTACTATGCAGCAGCGGATGTTTGCTGACCACAGTAAACGCATTATATCGGTGACATATTTTAACGGCGGGCGGGTGCCGTTCACGCACACACCTACATCTATGGCACGACAATCTTTGACGTAGTCGACTTCCATGGCAGCGACCAATTTGTCGAGAGAAAAGGATAGTCCAGCGCCGCTAATGACACGACCTGGTATGTTTTGATTGAATCCTTGCGCCTGCTTCTGGAACTCATTCAACATTGTGTCGTAACGCTCACCCATTGCCAGCACCGAGGAGTTAGTGCTGCGATTGGGCTTAAGATCAGCGATCAATTGCCACACAGCTCCCCCACCGCTGGCGCGATCGAAGCTGATGGGCAAACCAGCGAAAATGTGTATCGGACACTGGAAAAAGCAAATAATATTACTTGAAAAGCACAAATAATTGCTTTGAGGCACTCACTGTAACGCCCAGACTCTGTGCCAAGCTTACAATTGCTTCCAACTCCCGCAGCGCGCTCTTAGCCAGTGAAGCCGCTTCACCTTTACCACGTACGAGCGATTTCAACGACGAATCGTCGACATTGCTTCTGGTGCCACTCATCAAAAAATTTGCCAGCAATAAGTCAATTAGCGCCGAAGCGGAGGAACGTGACTTCTCCATGATCACAGTCACGCTTGAGTGGAATTGAAATTTAGATATACGGCCTTCTATGAAATCAGCTATGTTCGCAAACAAATCGGTGTACGAAGACTTAGGTACATTACAGTAGATCAGTATGGCGCGAAGCAGATGTGTATGATTCATGCGTATGCGCATGTTTTTTTCGCGCAATCGCGGTATTTCATTGGTGATTTCATAGGCAAGCGATAGCAATTCGGCATCAACCAGCGGACTACTGGCATACGGTGTTATTATGTCGAAGGCACATTCGTAGCTCTGTCTGGGATGGAAATTGAAGACCTTCTCCTCGCGGTAGACTCGATCTACACAGTAGCGGCGTATCATATTCACTCCATTCATGGTTATGTGACGTGCGAACTCAGTGCGCAAATCGCTGGGCAGCACCACTACACAGCCGGAGTGTGTCATGAGTCGCACAGGATTGTTCCAGGGATTCGTATGTTTAGAAAGCGGCGACAGCAGTGGTGTGTCCACTTCGATTGCACCATGTTTGCGAAACAGTGCCACAACTTTTGCTTTGACAAATTCAAAAATTGGATTCAATGAAACTAAACCATCTAATGAGATTGGCGAATTCCATGATTTCATATTGCGACTACTACCCAAGTGGTAGGTATATTCAAGAAGTTCATCACTTTGCTGCTGCAGACAACGGGCTACCAAATGTTTGTAAGCTTTGCTTTGGGGATTTGCAAGCGCATGTCTCAACATCTCTTGAAGTTCATTCGCTTCAAGCTGCGCGGGCGGCACCAGGTCTGAGGATAGCAATTCCTCGGCGGTGGGGCGTTGCGCCGGATCGTGATTTAGAAGACAGCGTAAAATCTGAAAATAAAAAAGTTAATACATACTTCAAAATCAACGTTTATATAAAATTAACTTGCCTTCACAGTTTTTTCATAACGATTATCGCTTAGCATGGCGTCGGGTATCACAATGGCGGTGGTGCGTAGCGCGACTATTGTTTGTACACGCTCCATGCCCGTTTGGAACGGTGGTTGTGACATTTCAAAAAGTATAATACCCAAGGTGTACATGTCAACTTTTTGACTGTACGTAGATTTAGAAGCATTACCAGTTAATTCAGGCGCTACATACAGCGTTGTGCCTACTTTTCCAGTGCCTGTACCATCTTCTATAGAAGCAACTTGAATGGAGTATTGATGAGACGCTTGTTCTTCTAAAATTAAATACTTCTTAAAATCCTTTTTAAAAATAACTATTTGAATATTATTAACGTACGTTGGCTTTGCAGCGCTAAGAAACTGGTTGTTGCAAGCCCAAAATCTCCAATTTTTATCTGATCATGTGAGTCCAAAAATATATTTACCGGCTTCAAGTCGCGATGTATAATACCTTGTTGATGGATGTGAGATAAACCCTCAGCGATTTCGCGAAATAAACGCCAAAGGCGCTCAGTATCCTCATATAAATTATCATCAATGGCAGTTCTGCAAAAAGGAAATGCGACAATGCATTTTTATATGCTTTCGTTTAATTTATTTTCTTACCTCAGTGTGCACTTCTCACAGAACTCCATTTGAATATACATAACTTGCATAGGTTTAGGCGAAAATGTTTTGGAGACTTGCCTAGATGGCTCATCTTCTTCGTCGTCATCATCATCGTAATTGACAATTTCGCCATTGGAGTCAACAAACTCAATGCCATCGGAGTCAGAATCATCTGCAGTTGGTCTAAAGAACGAAAGTGTGGATAAACACGTTTGCATATATGATATGGAAGTGCATAATGACTTACACACAGCCACTCCATATGCTGGACGAGCTGTCTTCATCATCTTTTATGGGTAAACCAAGTTGGGGTGATGGTGGTGGCTTAAAGCTGATTTCGTTACTGGCTGACACTTCATCCCCCAACAATTTTTCCTGAAATTATATGGATTTTTGTAATGTATTATAATCACAGCTTTTTACAATTTTCCAACCATTTCTTCTTCATCCGCTTCGGTTACACTTTCTATCCAACTGTTGAAATATCGTACAACATTTTCGTGATTCAAACGAGATAGCAATTCGACTTCTCGGGTCATTTTCTTATAGAGTTGACGACTACGAGCTGGCAGTGGAATACGCTTTAAAGCATACTGACGGTTATCTAATATATTACGTACCTAAAACAATTATATTTATTTATTTGGAGAATCATTCCTAAAAAATCGTTGCAGTTTTATACCCACTTTCAACACATCTCCAAATGCACCTTTTCCTAAATAGGTTATCACCTCAAATTCATTCCGCAACCTAGACTGGCTCATAGGCATTAAAGGTATGACAGACAAGGCAACCGGCAGATGCTTCGGTTGGCGATCTAGTCGTTCTCGCGTCGGTTTTGTACTTTTTATTGGGACACCAGGTGTACCGCCGGAAGTTCGACGCTGGGTTTGTTGTGTTATAGCGAGTGCAAGAGCTTTATCGTCCTGTCCGAGCAAAGATGAATGCAAGAATGGATGATCGAGAAGTTCAGAAGCAGAGAGCGTGCGGTCAGAATTGCACCTAAATAAAAGTAAGTTAAATTATGAGCTGCATTTTGAGTGGCATTCAATTTACTTGTCGATAAAATCTCGCATCTCATATGTATGGGATGGCATGAGACTTTCGATGAGCGCTCCCAAAGCTGGTAAATCGCCATGCATTGAACGCTGTCCTGCACCGCCCACTAGTTCAAGCAAATTGGGTACAAGCGAAAAGTCTGTGCAGCGCAAAGTTCCTGTATTGTCCATAAATATTGTGCTATCCATAAGGTGGCTGTGTGATACGCCCTTATTGTGCAGAAAAACCAGCGCGTCAAGTACACCGCGTGCTACCATTCGTACTCCTTCTAAACACCAACCCAGACTGGAAGATATATTCAACACGCTGGTGCCTAGCAAAAAATCTTGCACGAGATAAACAATTAGTCCCTCTTTTCGTTTGATACATAACACACATTCGTATTGTATAAGATTTTTATGATGTAACTGCGAGAGCGTAGCTACTTGCTTTTCGATAGAGGATATAACGTCATCCACGCGATGGTTTCCATTACATTTTGGTTCTGTGGCCAGCCAGGAACAGTGTCCACCATTTCCACATTTTTGTTCTAATTGCGTATACTTTATGGTCCATTCGGTTAAATATAGTAGTTGCCCAGTGTCCAAATCAATGC